TTTAAAATGAGATGTTTATCATGTATTTGATTGTGTTTATCTGCAGTTAGTTACACGAATTCAGATATGAGATGAAATCGGAAAGAGATGAAATCGTTTAGGGATGAATGAGTTTAAGAGTTTTAAGAGTTTTAGCCAAATGCTTTATAAGATAGTATAGATAACGCTTCAATAAGCTATCTTATTTTCATCGAAACAAAGAATTTTTCATAAATTCAAAAAATAAATTACCTTAATACCCTTAAAAATTAATTATCCAATATTACATATTAAGTAATTAAATAATAATTAATTTTTTTACTTAAATAGGTAAGTTCAAAAGATATAAAAATACAATGGTTTTATCGAGGGACAAGTTTAGAAAAACCCAACAAATCAATATCCCATTTTAAATGATTAAGTCACTAAATTATTTTATTGAATGAAAAAACCATTAAATTTTTACATTTTTTAACGATTAAGTCCCTAGACATTCTATTCTGATAATCGGATTTTTTAAAATTGGTTACCTACATCATTTTAACAAAAAAAAAAAAAAAAACTATATGCAAACGACTAGCAATGTTTTAAAGTAAAAAAGAAACCTAAATCAGTTTTACTGTTCTCAAATCTTACGCCTCCCTCGCCACTTTCCTGCCTCCCCATTGTTGTCAGTTCTTCATATCTCTATCATGCTATTGGCTCTGTCATCAATCTCCTTGTTTTTGATCTATCAAAAGAGGGAGAATCAAAAGATAAAAAACGAATAAAAAACAAGGAGATCGGATGGCAAGACGAACAACGTGCTAGGCGATATGGAAAACAGACAGTGATGGGGCGACAAGGAGTGGTGAGGGGGAGTGTTACCGGTGTTTGCGTGGGGTTGAATTGCGTAGGATTTGGGAATGGTAAAACTGATTTAGAGTCTTCCGGGTCTCATGAAAAACCCTTACTCTCACATGAACCCAACCCTTAATATATATATATATATATATATATATATATATATATATTCACACACATACATATAAATAAAACTTTATAAAAATATATATATTAGCGGCGGGTTGGACGAGTTGAGCCCGATTTCAACCCTCCAAATTGGCGGGTTAGCAGTTTGGCAGTTAGGCGGGTTGAGTTTAATTGGGTTGTTAGCGGGTTGGATTGGACGAGTTTCGTGGGTTGACGGTTTTTTTATACATCCTTAATTCTCGTCCATATAATTTGCAATTCATTGCTATTTCCATCCCAAAGCTAACTCGTACTTTTAAGTGCGAGAGACTAAAACAATAATGAATTATAAAAAAAAAAAAAAATGAAAATAACATTAAATTGTAAATCATAAATATAATAAATTAAAAATCATAAAGATATAATAAATTAAAAATCATAAAAATAACTAAAAAAATAGCAATTTTCAACAAACAACGTAACGTAATATGCCAAAATAAAAGTATTAAACAGCAGGCCAGACTGTGTAGGCCCATTATCCAGGAAAAGCCCATTATCTAGGAACAAGCCCATTTAACCCACTTTATAGAGACACTAAAACGAACGTCGTTTTAGGGTTTACTCTTGCTTTCTGTCATTTCCTCTTTCTCTTTGTGCCTCCGCCAAAAGCTCGGATATCTTCAACAATGGCCGAACAGGTGTTTTAATTTTCGTAACTCTTAATTTTGATGTGTATCTCGTTACCTGTATGTATTGACATTTTGGTTTTCTTGTCTTCTTTTTCTATGCATTGATAGACGGAGAAGGCGTTTTTGAAGCAACCCAAGGTGTTTTTATGGTGAGAAACAATCGATTTTTTAGTTCAATTTTTTAATTTGTTCGAGTTCTTTCTTTATGTGCTGATCAATTGATTTCGGAAGATGATGTTGGTTTTGTTGATTCGTGTTTTAGCTCGAAGAAAAGTGGGAAAGGGAAGAGGCCTGGGAAGGGTGGAAACAGATTCTGGAAGAGTGTTGGTCTTGGATTCAAGACACCAAGAGAAGCTATTGAAGGTAATGTTTGCCAAATACTATCATTTTATAACTTTTTCCCCAAAGTATTACATCCAACATTGTACTGTATAAAATTTTGTTGTCCCAATTCTAAAATGTCCGAGTTTTGAATCAAACGTGATTCTGTTTTGTATGCATTTGCTTGGCAAGTAGTGATCATGGCCACCTCTGGAAGGTTTTTGAGCATTTGATTCATAAGTGAGATTGCTCCATTAGACCATATGCTTGATCTTCGAGGGGATTGCGAAAGTATTTTACAGTAATACGTAGCAAAGGAGAATGTATTCAGGGTAATTGGTGTTAGAAAAAGAGTACTTTATTAGTTCCTCCAAGAAGTACTCGTTCGATTTTTGAGATTCAGAATGTGTTAGTCTATAGTAACCCTCTCTAACCGGAAGATTCATTCTTGTTAAATTTGACAGTAAGTTTTGTAACGGTAATAGATGTTTGATTCATTGTCAACCAGGCTTATCACGAGTTAAATGTGCAATGTTTATTGGGTCGTCTTTTACTTTAAGGTAGAAAGTAATTCACTGATGACCCAACTATACTGTTTCTTAGAACTATAAAAGTTTTGGATGCAATACTAAAATGTCTGAGTTTTAATCCATATGTGAATTTTGTTTTGTGTGGAATATGTATATTAATGAAACCAGATATAGCTGGTTTGTTAGCAGGTTGCTCATTTGTGATGTTGTCTTTGAGTGGGCTTGTTTGATGCAGTCTCATAAATATTTATTTTCTTTTGGCTAACCACAAATGATTCGCTGCAAGTAAATGGGAAGTAGTGCTCGTTATTACCTTTAGAAGGTCGCTTTGGATATTTGATTCATAATTGTGATGGTTCTGTTAAACTATGTCTGATTAACTTTTGCAACTTTGTGTTGCAGAAACCTGTGTGTGAGTCTTTGATTTTTTTTAAAGGAACTGCCTACTTTTGGGTTTCAGAGCTAAAAAAAATATTCAATATGAGGGATTGCGGGATTTATTTCTGTAACTCAGTCATTGTTTTGATGATAGTTTGCTTCTTAGTGTTTCCTTTGGATCTTTTGGGATGGACCTATAGTTTTCTTCTCTTTTTTCCAAATATTTTTGATGAGTAAGCTATAAGTCTTAATTATTGTGTTTTGTTGGGGGAGTGGACTTCTATTCTTGTTTCAGTTTGATCGTCAAAACACCATACCATCCATTGGATCTATTGCATGAATTTGTTTGAAACATAACTTCATGTTTATTAAGTTTTTCTGTTGTGAACAATACTTATCTTAATTGATACTTGATAATTCTAGGAACTTACATCGACAAGAAGTGCCCTTTCACTGGTGATGTCTCCATCAGAGGCCGTATTCTTGCTGGCACATGCCACAGTGCCAAGATGGTGAGGACCATCATCGTTCGTAGGAACTACCTCCACTTTGTCAAGAAATACCAAAGGCAAGACAGAAACCATAGCTACTACTCATCATTGTCCTTCCAACCAGCTTAAATTCATAATTTTAATTTTTATCACTCGTGTTTACAGATACGAAAAGAGGCATTCCAACATTCCAGCACACATTTCTCCCTGCTTTCGTGTGAAAGAAGGTGATCATGTCACTGTTGGACAGTGCAGGTATATTCGTCTACTTGAATTTTACAATTTCTAAATTTATGTTCTTCTTTTGCATTGTTGATCTGATTTTGTGTTTGTATTTACGTGTACAGACCATTGTCAAAGACGGTGAGGTTCAATGTGTTGAAGGTGATCCCAGCTGGATCTTCTGGTGGTGGAAAGAAGGCGTTTACCGGCATATAAGAAGCTTATCTTCTTTATCTTAGATTCCCAAAAACAAGTTGCTGATTCGAGTGAAATGTACTTGCTTAAATACTTCTGCAGACATAATTTTTGGCTCTAGTCTTCTTTTTACTTCTGATGTTTACGATTATGAGATGATTGTAAGTTTAACAATCGAAGTTTTGATTTGTTACATTATTGGTACTTTATAGAAGTTGGCAACTCCATTTACATCAAATTTCTATCTAGGAAGCCACATGATTAGACTAAACCACCTTCAAAGGCCTACTTGTTTGGCCTAATGATGTTATGTGGTTTTCTGTAGGGTTCTTAAACCAACAACTATCCTGCGTCATTATTTAGGTCCATCTTTTTGTTTGATTTAGGTGCCGTTTTCCGATATCCTTTCCTGGTAAATGCTGTAAATGTTTACAGTCACCTTTTACAACTACTGTACCGAGTTGAATTCTTCGCCATTAAAATGGAATCACATGCAACAATGTTAACTTGTAAATGTGCAAAAAGGAAGAAAAAGGATAGAATTTTAAGTGAAATTTCTACCATTTTGATACATGAAAAGCTTACGTGACTCGTCAACTTTGTTTAGGGTTCTAAATGGCGTATGGTGATGAGGTTAGCCTTGAGATTTGCAACAAGAATGCAACGTTTTTCAAAACGTAACATTATACGTCAAACTTTGTATCTGGTATATATATATATATGTATATTAGTAGAAGAAAATCATATATATTGATATCATATAAAGTTGTTACCAGATATTTAAAATAAAACTTGAAAGGGGCTTACAACTTCGTTTTACCCATAAGTCTGCGATGATTTTATGACTAACACGTCTAGGTAAAGAAAATAAGAAAATTATAAAGTAATAAGAGAAACACAAAAGCTAAAATATTGAAAAAGGTTAATATAAATTATGAGCATCATAGTATGCCTCAAGATGCCATGGCGTAAGGCATACCTTTTTCAAACGTTGCAAGTCTTATTGTAATGGCAGAGACGCGGCTTTTGAAACCCTAAATTTGTTACAAGTTTCATAAACAGAAATAATGAAAGAAATGGTAATATCTGTGGATCTTATAGTAATTTTAGAAAAACAACAGTTGAATTACGAAATAACAAGTATGATTAGCGATTCTCTTTGTAACGGATTAACTTTAAAATTCTCTTGCAAGGCTGATGTTTTCCATGATACGGAAGAACGACGTTTCGACACGCTTATACTAAATCCACCCATTCATTTAACATGAATAATTGACATATAACACCAATCTCAGAACTCGATCAAGCTTAGCTACATTCATGATTATTATAGCTAACTCAAGCTTGTTCGACAATCGACTAAGCACGAGTCCTGATATCCATGACCTGTTACTTCACATGAGAAAACTACACCTTTACACTACAACTCAATGCTGGAAACCTAATATCCTCCAACAGCTTCCCACAATCCCAACTCGCTCGAAAGCTATTGTGCATTTCGGCTCCTGAAAAGCAAAAAGCTTCGTTGAAAAAGGCAACCCATTTAAATACTTGTGTCATACATTTAAGTAGTTGGGAAGAGAGTGTAGTTGTTTGGCGGTACTCAAATCCATATATAATTGTACCATATGAGAGGAGCCAAAGGGTCAATTGCCTAGCAGCACCCGGGTTACAGCCGGATCCCAACTTTTTCTTGGATATCAAGGATTCTAACGTCACTAAAGGTGATGATTGTGTGTGGGTTTTTCGTGTGCATGTATATATATATATATATATAGAGAGAGAGAGAGAGAGAGAGAGAGAGACTTAGGTTCCAGTGAAAAAATGGAAAACTGAGGAACACTCCAACAACCATTCATTTATCTAGTATGCACATGTGCATAAAAGTAACTGGAAATGTTTCCATGCACGTGCATTTTATGAACATGTGCAATATTGAACAAATGAATGATTATTAGGGTGTTCTTCAGTTTTCTATTTCTTTCTTGTGGTTCTCCCTTGAACCCAACCCTATATGTGCGTGTGTGTATATATACAATACTTACAAAACATGCACATTCAATCTCTAAGAATCTTTGTGCGGTGATCATATGTCTCTTTTTTGCTATTGGGAATATAAGTAACAAAAGGGATAGCAACAGCCTGCAGCATAACAATCCTGCTATATAGGTTGCACTTTGTGAAATACACTTGTATGCTGTACAATTTAACATGTATAGAGTACAACCCACTGTAGCAGGACTGGTATTTGCAATTTTCATTCACAAGAAGGCTTACCAGTTAAGAAAATGGCTCAAGAACTTTGGGTCCTGTGATCCATCAGACATCAGCAGTGCAGGAGATACTCCATCACTATTTTGGAAATCTCTTAGCTGCAAGCCTAGGGACACGGCTTCACCAGTTTGGAAATCCTTATGTGGCATAGCAAAGGACGGTCCATTGTCACATTGAAGATTATCTGATGGGGATGCCAGAGGTCCTCTATCGTCGGTATTGGGGAAATTGTGGGTTGGTAATAATAAAGATGTTCCATCACTACTTTGGAAATTGGTTGGAGGCATTTCGAGGGGTATTTCATCGTTACACCTGAACTCCTTCCATTGTTGAGTCACTGTCTTAATCTGCGTATAAAAGTGAACTCCAGACTTGCCTGCAACAGAAATGAAACAATTTCAACTTCATGATTTCTTTGCATGTAACAATTGATGAAACAGACAAACTGATTTTGGGTGAATTCACCAGGGAAGTTCAGGTCTCCTGAGAAAGATGCCTCCGTTCCAGTAAATGAGAAAAAGGGCAGCGGGGATGGGACAGGGACATTTACACCAACCTGTGGCATTTTGAGCATAAGTCGTGGAAACTAATTATAAGATAAACACAGGTATACTGTACTTATAGAAAAGGGGTTAAACATAACCAAGCATAACCAAACCAAACCAAACCAAACCAAACTATCCCGGTATATCCCATTTGGAGGTGGGGCCTGGGGAGGGTGAGATGTATGCAGACCTCACCTCTACTCCAAAGAGTAAAGTGACTGTTTCCGTGAAGCACCCCTCCAGAGCGCCATATAAATGGCATACTTGTCAATCTTTGATCATGAAGACAGTTGGATCTAGTTTGCTAACCTAATGTTACTGCCCCCAAACTTATACTAGATATGAGATACAGTTAAGAGTAACCACTGGATATGTTGCTTAAAGGGTTAACATCAAACCCTGACAGCAAATGATATGTTTTAACTTCACACTGAAAAACCTAGAGCAGTCTTGGTTAAAAGTGCTGCAATACCTGCCCAGCTTCTATCTCTGTTTGGAATTTCCTTGCTGATGCACCATTTTTGGTGAATATTGAAGCACCGAAGCCATACCTGATCCAAAAAAAACTTAGGATGGGAGAGAAGATAAGGCCTAAATCTAGTATGATACAGATTCTATAAAGTTTGTAAAATCCACCTATTTCTGTTCACAATACTTATGGCTTCCTCTAAGCTGTCAGCCTGAAAGTACGAGGGAACTTTAATGCAAAATATCAACAACTTCTAAATTTATATAACCAACAATCTTGTAAATGGCAATGATGATAGTAAGCCAACCTGCAAACAGAGAAGGACCGGGCCAGTAATCTCCTCCTGAGCACACAGATAGTGATGTTAGGATTTGAATGTTGTCTTCAACTGTATATAGTATGAGAGAAATACGATAGGATACCTTGTAACACTCCATGCCATCTGTAACATCAGATAAGATGGTGGGACCGACAAAATTGCCCATCTCATATTTTGGAACCTATAATGAGAGCCAAAATTTTCATTAGCATACAAGACTGGGAATTTTCAAAGCATGAATGGGTTGGGGATATATATTTCATTAACGCTTCTATGATCTAGTTAATTTCAGTTGTTGATTAAGTAATAACCTAGTTGAGTTCATCACACAACACATGATACGCGAGTAGCTCGGCTTAATAACGACGGTTTAGAGAACAGGAAATGAAATGGATCATTTACTGGTCAAACCATAGATCCATCACCAACTTGATGTATTTGAAATGGCTCATCTATGTAAACATGATGCTTATGAATTATGACGTGGAAAAGCTTGCATCTTTTGGCAAGCACATAAAGAAGAAATAATATGGAAAATAAATAAGTATACATGAAAAAGTAAAAGGCTTAACGCGTCATAAATTGGAGATCAAATGTCATTAATTTAATGCAGTAAATTATAGATTATACAAGAGAACGGAAGATAAGGACATACCTCAATATGTCTACCATCCAGAATTAATCTAGCACCAACATCAATACCCGTTTGGATTAATCTATTTACCTTTTCCTTTGCCTGTCGAGGCATCACAAATAAAAAAAAAGTATCAGAGAAGAAAAAATGATTTCACCAGAAGCATTGAAAGGTCAGCTGGAACCAAAAGTTGCTGCTTGGACACATAGAGTGACTAATAATCAAAATGTTTGGAGCAAAAATTAATAGGAAAAGTTACAGAAAATATGATGCATCTCCACTTCACTTTTCCCATCTTTACAAAGTAATAACACAAACCAATCATCAAAAAGTTTTGATGTGTGCACCATTTTATTAATCACAGGACCAAGGTCTGCATCGGTATCAGTTCCAACATTTACTTTAAGGGCTTTGGCACGCTCAACTAGTTTTTCTTCCCTGCAGGAGATCAAAAAAAATAAAAATAAAGTGTGAACAACAATAAAAAAAAGAATCATGTATTGAATGAAATCCACATAAATTAGGAGAAACAGTTAAAGGCTTCTTCTAGAGCTTAATTAAATAACTTAATTAAATAATAAGCATTAGTAGGTTATCCTAATGCTCAGGTTGCATAACCTTGAGAACATTTCAAGTGAAATAATCCTCAACTGAAAAGAAGCGGAGATGATCGACCTCCTTACAAATGTCAGTCAACTTAATCGAGCTTCATTACACCTGATTGGCATGCAGCATACCACATGAAGGAAGAACAATTGATAAAAGAGGCCTTGATCCATAAACTGGAGTGTAAATCAAAAGAAAAGGATACCATGATTTTGAACCTCCGACAAATACAACCGTACTCAGTGCTGAACACCTTTGTCCTGCAGCACCAAATCCAGCAGCAGCAAGAGCATCCAAGGTAGCACCCATATTTGCATCAGGCATGACAATTGCATGGTTTTTTGCACCAATATTTGACTGAGTAAAATACAGGGAATGCCAAATCAAGATCAATAATGATTTTGCAGAATCTTGTATATCCATATTATGCTTAAATTTTGACATGAAAAGCACTTCATTGTTTTTTTAGCAAAAACTGAAAACCAGATTACAGAGACAAGACATAAACCATGATACCTGAACACGTTTGCCATTAGAAGACGCTCTTGCATGAATATGTGAACCAGACTACAAGAAAATTAAAGAAATCATCAACTAACCTAAATAATGAACGGAGAAGTAACAGCACTTGAATCAGATCTGGTGACGAGCATATCAATACCTATCAACTACAGATAGGGATTGAACCAGGGTTTTCAAACTGTAGCGACTCTTTTAAATTAATTTTGAATGTTTGAAAAACTCATGGAATAAATTATACAAAGAGTTGTACTATAAATCATTTCATATGTACAACATATGAGATTATATTTTTGCTCCACCACGTGTTATGAATGGCATATATTGTACATCTCGTATTCGGGAGAGCTTGCTTCGTGGCGGAGCATTTAGTAATGCTAGCAGCCTGGTGAGGGTTGGAGACAGTGACAAACATAAGTGAAACTCATTCCAATTGCAAAAACAAAATTTTGATGCATTATATTTCTAAAGATATCATGTCAACTGCCAACTTAGCCAACATATAAATCGAAGTAAAAGTGACAGAATTTCCCTTCTAAAACATTATGATTTAATCAATCAGATTAGTTTAATAGTGATCAATCAATTTTAATTTCAAACTAACCAACAATCAAAACATGAGGAGTAATTCTAACATTAGAAATTATTATGTATCATAGAAATTGGTGTAGAACCATTGATTTTTTTAACCAATTCCAATTTCATACCAAAATTTAAGAACCAAACGTTTTCTGTAGCCACATCAAGTTGGTTTATGTCGACAATGTGCATGAAAAACATTTTGAGAAGAAAAAAGCGATCAACTATATTCTATTAATTCTTTTACTAAAATACACGTTATTTTAAGATTTTAGTTGAAGTTTGAAGAAAAATAAAAAAGGATTTGGTTTTCTGAAACGTATATGAAAATTTGGAAAAGGAAAAGGTAATCAAATGTACAGATTTAGGGTCAAACAAAAAGAAGCAAGACAAACTGGTGAAACAAATGGGAAAAGGAAAAAGGGAGAAAAGAAAGATACATGGAAAGATAAGATAAGTTTTAGAGTTCAACCATTATACCTCAAGGTTAGCAAACAAAGGCTTTACCATCCAAGCTACATCTGTTGTACATCGTGGGTTCACACTACATTATAATCAACTAATCTCTAATTTTTACAAAATACCCAATTTATATTAAAATTAGTCTAAATCATGCGGTGTCACATGAAACCACATGCATGACTGAAGTCACACCCCTGTACCAATATTTATAAACTTATGGCAAACCTAAAGCAGACAACCTTGCATGAATAAGGCACAATATACTTGCTTAGGCTTTTGACAATGTATAAACGAATTCTGCAAATAAGTTATGTGCAAGTTTACTTGCACAATTGAAGTTTCAGTTCTAGAAAACCTTCACCTGATTGGCATTAGTCATAAAAAATGGTGACATACATAGTAAACTGAAGAATTTCATAGAGTAAATGAAACTTACAGAATCTGGACCAACAAATGTTATAGCTTTAATATCATCGTCATCACAGATGGCATTCACAATATCCTGGCCGATCATGCACAGAAAAATTTGCTCAATCAATGCTCCAAACTAGAACTATTCACATTCGAGTGTGTTTACAAGCAGATTTGCAAAATATAAAGAATAATGTAACTGATGATAAAAATAATCATCTGTTATTATTGGGCGACAGCATGAACTCTCATATCAACCATACCATGAGCCTCTTCAACTACAAAGAGAGAAGTTCTTTGTTAACAAAAAGGTTATACTTACATTGGTTCCATGAACTATATTTAGTACACCGTTGGGCAAGCCAGCCTCCATTGCTAATTCTGCAAGTATCATGCATGCCCCTGAACCAAATAAGGGGGGTGGTGGGATTAAGAAATCATGTACCAACAACAGAAGCTTCTTTCTTATCAGATACGCTTTTTTTTGCAAGGACAAAAAAGATGTTCCAGTCATCAAAACCAAACCAACGAGCCCAATATATCCCACCGGGAGGTGGGCTTTGAGGGATATAATTGATTGGTAATTCAACTGACACCTATAAGGGGATTAGAGCAGGCCTTCCATCTTACTGTGATAAGTTCATAAATATTACTTGAAGAAACATCAGACCAGAGCTATGATCTGATCTAACACAAATAAGAATGGATCTACATGAAGACCTAATCATCAAACAAATTGGTGAACCACCAGCGGTTAAATTGAAAATGATACTGAATAACTAAAAGATTCCCTTGCAAACGGATAACCAACAAACACAGTTATTTCGTTTGAAAACTACAGCAACAAAGATGCCAGTTTTACCAGCAGGTCTATAAATAACCCATAAGATAAAAAAAGAACCTTTCTAATACATGAGGTAGACTAAAAGAGAGTTTACTTATTTGTGATTTCCTGTACCCAAAACCATCACATGGTTGTAAAAGATATTCATTTTCACAAGGTGATGTTCACAGCTGATAATATGATACCCCTTGTAACTACCAAGAAAAAAGAAAAGAAAAAACCATCTAACATTAGACCAACACAGAGAGTCAGAATGGTTTATAACCCAAGAAAGCGAACAAGGTGCCAGGTTAGGCAATCCCCAACGACCATGCATGAGATAACTTTAATTCATATATGATCCAGGTGCTCCAAACGGTTTCAGAAACATATACAAGAGCAACAGTTAAGCATGCTGTAAGGCCTTCTCACAAAGGTCATACTGAGTAATAACATTGCTACCGGAAGAACTAGAGTTGAGAAATATATCTGATGAATTTGTACATTATGGCCGCAGGATGAAAACATAGCTACCTGGATCTTTCTCTGAGGGCTTAAGAATAAATGTATTACCGCATGCCACTGCAATTGGAAACATCTGCATATATTATATGGAATTAGAGTGAATCAATAAAAAAGTTCATTGAGCATTGGAAAATATCAAATAAGCATTTAATAAATCAAAACAAATTAAACATTAACAATAATGTGGAAGTATAAAACTAAAAAAATGGTCTTGAATCCACGAGACCAGGAAATGATACATTCTCATGAGTGACAAACACATTCTCATGCTTAGCCCTAAATGACCCCTGCAGAAAGAAATAATTTCCTAAAAGAAAAAAGAATAAAGAAAAATAGAAACTAATATGTATGACAGGCTTACCCACAACGGAACTAACGCTGGAAAGTTAGAAGGACATATTCCAGCACAAACACCAAGCGGTTCCCTCAGGCTGTAGCTATCAACTCCGCTTCGTATGTTAGAAACAAATTCCCCCGTTTGGAGATTTGTCATCCCGCAAGCATGTTCAACCACCTCTAAAGGTGGGTACTAATTATCATAAGTTAAGTTCAATAAACTACATATATAGAAAATGATATCAGGGATGAACAATACACACCAAGCCCACGGAGCATTTCATTACGTGCATCCTTCAACGTTTTTCCCTGCTCTGAAGTTATATTTTGTGCAATCTTGTCCTACAAAACAATGAAGAGTTCTATTGGTAAGAAAACTTAGCGATAAAAGATTAATAGATGGCGATGCAAATGAACTTAGACACATACAATGTCTCTACGAATAAGTTCCTGAAACTTGAACATGATACGTTGACGAGTCATGACAGGTGTGTTTCGCCATGATGGAAGAGAACATTTTGCTGCAAATACTGCTGCCCTAAACTCTTCACCGGTGGTTAGAGGAACCTGAGAGACCACTTGTTGAGTTGCCTATATTAATTGATAAATAGAATATTCAGCAATTTGCAATCTAGGCGACTTAGAAGTAAGGAAAAAAAAATAACCAATTGATACTTACAGGGTTTATGACATCAATAGATGTTCTGGATTGTGAGTCTATAAACATGCCACCAATGAAATTCGGTACCCTCTGAAGAATAAACAACCAACTTGTGTAATGACAAGTTTAAAATGCATGACATTTATTTCAACTGCCCTTCCCTCCCACAACCATTAAGAATGTCTGATTACATCAAATACTATCTTAACAAAATAAAATACAAATTGAAATCAATAAACTTCAGGAACAACAAAAAACGGTAGGTGGTAATATAACCCTAGAGTCAAATGGTATATATAACCCCGTAAAAGAAAACAATGGACGAAAAATTTAATAAAAATCCAACTAGGTAACAACCCTCCTATGCTAGGAAAATGAATAAGAACCCGGATGCCAATATACAGAAGCAAAAACCAACAATAGTTATCTCCAAGCTCAGCACATCTCATCTCCAAAGGTCATATGCCATCCAATAACAAAATTTTGAAGCACAGCCAGTAATGCATCTCTCTCTCTATAAGTGATCTTTTTAAAAGATTCAGCTCAGAACTATTTACAGAACAAGTTTTTTCCTGCAACCTTTCCAAGAGTTTCTTCTATTTCGTTAAGGTTATCTAGAAGGCGGATGGGAATTTGGATATATATATATATATATATATAATATTATATTATAGGCTTGGGATCGTGTGAAAACTTTTATCTTTCAAGAGAAGTGTGAGAACCACCTCATAGCCGTCAAATGATTTTCTTGTAGAACCTCGATGGCATGTATGTAGGGGGACACGGACCTAAACATACCTTACATGCCTTAACATGAAAAACATTGAACCTTAACTAACCTAAACAAATCTTAACATACCTTAATAAGAAAACCTTAACATGCTTTAACATGAAATCTTAACATACCTTAACATGCTTCACATACCTTAACATACCAGATCATGCCCAAATGCGAACAACCAAAAGACGAAATTTCCCCTCCCTTTACAAAAACATGGGCGTTGATCGCTGCTAGATCAAAAGCGATCGAGAGCCTCAAAGGAGTTCTCACGGAATGGGGGAGTTGTCACCGAAACCCAACACTATACACACACATGTGCGTGTGTGTATATATATATGTTATTTAATCTTACTCAAAGAACATTTCGTCATTAAGAGCATTTATCAAGAAAGAGGAATGAATATCGGGACGTCCCAAATGGGTCCTCATGTTTATCAATGCAATGTAGGTCCTACGGTCCATTTTGTAGCAATTTAAGGCTAACTGCTTCATACATGTAGGGTCATCCACAAGAAAATCCTACTCAATATATCATCTTCATCCTCCCATGGAAACTCAACCTTCTCTCTCTAGCTGTATCACACATACACAAGCCCAAAAATTGGGATTATGGCCAATGATTTCTAGGAGGATTACTGAGACTAATAATGATAGCAAGGCCACATGCGTGGCTTATTGGCCTTGTAACCACCAAATGCAAATGTTTCTCCGACCCTTCAAGCACACACACAGGTACCAAATTTTGCCAGCAAAGGTTTTATCAAACTTAGAATCTCTATCATCAACCTTTGAAATAAATCATCTCGAGATGCCACCATCATGCATATAACCATCACTCGCTGCTAGCATTGTCCACATCAAGATCAATCAAAAACATATAACTCAAAATAGCATAGTAGGTAGATATCCACATGCTCCATTTTCAAGTTCCATAGAATAAACACAATGGCCATGATGGTGGTGGTGTGAGTGTGATTTGGGGTGGTAGGCTGGGGGTTGTTGTTGATGATAGGCATAAAGCAAGTCCTTTTAATTGGCAAAGAGAAAGGGGTATCAAACCCAGGACCTCCAAGCTATTGCCATCTAGAAGGCACCTTAGGAAAAGAATTTATATTAATTAATCATACATCCCATTGATCATTATTCTTGAACGATTGAATAATTTAACTCATGTAAAAAAAGTTAAATAAATACATGACATGGTTTTTTTACGGTAAAGTGACGATAATTAATTGATAGAGATAAGTACTACTTCCAGCAATTGAGAGACTTATTTGAAATTTTGAAAAAGATGAAGCATGATTGCTGTACTGTTCATCAGATCACTTTCCATTCTTGGATAACAAAATCCTATCTGGTCCCAAATGAAAAATATCGGACATTTAATTACGACAATTTAAGCGGTATGATCTACATGGCAACTTATACTTAGAGTTCCGAGAGAAGGTAAGTGGAGGAATAACAAAGGGAGGAGAAGGAAGAAGAGGTGAGATAGGTGAAGGACCCTTAAAATCATTCCTCTTGCTTGTGAGTATTGGAGGCATTATTCTAAGCGGGAGGGATTCCAACATGGTTTTCTGCCTAATCAAGAATCATGTTCTCTCATTTTTGGAGTTATTCAAAAGATCGTTGGTCAAATAATCATTCCAAACTCCTCTCCTTGGTAACTCACTGTGGAATTGATACAGTGAATATAATCCCTGATTTCTTGGGATTATTTTTCCTTTTGTAACAAATTTGGTAGATATATATATAGTTTGGTAAGTTTCCTTGTATGTTATCAAATCCTTTAAATTATGGGATTCTAGTCAGGCCTCTAAGTTGAATAAATGCCCCTTTTGTTTTTCAATGAGAATAACAACATATTTTCTCTCAAATTACATGGTATCAGAGCTACAAAGGTATTTGTTTTAACAACTTATTTGCTGTTAATAATCAGAACCAATAACCGAGGTTCAACATCCCGGAGTCCGAATCAAACTCCATCGTCACATCTACCGATCGATCAACACCAGTAGTTGACTACTCTCAATCACTGATGCAAATCACTGTGCATCGTTTGAATGGGAAAAACTATATGGAATGGTCACAATCTGTGAAACTCGCCATTGATGATCGAGGTAAGTTGGGACCGGTGAAACTTCAAAACCGGTCTCATCTGATCCACGATATCGTAAATGGTGTTCTGAGAATTCTTTAGTAACCGCGTGGCTACTCAATTCAATAGACATGTCCATTGCTAAGCCACATATGTTCATGAAAACCGCCAAGGAAGCGTAGGACTCTGCTCGAGCGACATATTCAGACTTGGAGAATTCTTCCCAGATCTTTGAAATTAAAACACATTTGTGGCAAGCCAAACAAGATAACCGTGATGCTGCCTCTTACTATAATGAGATGGTAGCATTATGGCAAAAATTGGATCAATGCCACGATGATGTGTGGGAGAGTTCTGCAGATTGTACTCGGCAGAAGAAGAAAGAAGAGAATAACCGTGTGTTCATGTTCCTGGCTGTTGTTCACCCAAGTCTCGATGAAGTTAAAGGAAGAATTCTTGGCCGAAAGCCTCTTCCATAGAGGATTGCGCTTGCGACAGATAGTCACTAACTGTTTCAATGCCTCATCGCGGTCGTGCAATTCTTTGCCTACCAACTCAACCCGAACTTCACCTGGAAGAAATTGGGTGATATTTGGTGGTTTGCGGCCATACACCACTTCAAAAGGAGAAAGACCCGTTGATTCATGAAATGTGGAGTTATACCAAAACTCGGCCCACATAACCCACAAAGACCAAGAACGAGGCTGGTCAATAGTAAAACAACGCAAATAAGCTTCAAGACAACGATTGATGGCTTCGGTTTGACCGTCAGACTCCCGATGGTAAGCAGAATTCATATGTAACTGAGTTCCCTGAAGTCGGAAAATTTCAAGCCAGAAGTGACTCATGAACAAAGGGTCGTGATCACTAACGATCGACTTAGGAATACCGTGAAGTTGTTTGATTTCAGGAACGAAAATGTCGACGATTGTCTTGGCCGTATAGAGATGTTTTAGAAGGATAAAATGATTGTATTTTGATAGGCAATCGACCACAACAACAGGGCATTGAAACCTTTTGATTTAGGCAGCCCGAGGATAAAATCGATGGCTAAGTGTTCCCAAATAGCCTCTGGAATATTCAGACGTTGCAACAACCCCGCATGCGTTAATGAACTAGATTTGCACTGCTGACAAATATCGCATGAATTTACAAAATTTTGCACCGCCGAACTCATTCCCGGCCAATACAAATTTGCTGCACGCCGCTGATACTTTCTATAGAAACCCGAATGGCCTCCGGTAGTCGTAGTGTGGAATTCTTGCATCAACTGAGGAATCCATTTTTAATCACGAGAAATGACCAAACGATTTTTGTTATAAAGGCTGCCATTATGAACCGTGTAGCCCCGATAAGAATCAGGCTTCAATTGACATTTCTGAATCAGCTGTTGAATGGAGGAATCAGACTTAGCTTCCTCAAGTAAGTTCGCTCCTTGGATCCAGGTTGGTTGGTACAACATAGATGACAACTCTCCCTCATCGTTGTGTCTAGATAATGCATCCGCAACTTTATTATCTCGACCCATCTTATACTTGATTTCAAAATGGCAGCCAAGAAGTTTGGCCACCCAACTTTGTTGGTTAGGAGTTGTAATTCGTTGATGTAACAGATGTTTAAGACTCTTATGATTCGTATACACAATAAAATTTGTTCCCAACAAGTAACTCCTCCAATATTGAACAGCCAAGGTAAGCGCCATAATCTCATGCTCATAATTAGCCAGGTTCCAACCCAATGCCTAGCTAAAAAAAGCGATAGGGTGTTGTTGTTGCATTAGAACATCCCCAATTCTTCGTCCTGGAGCGTCACATTCAACCACAAATGGGATAGAGAAATCCGGATATGCCAAAACAGGGGCAAATGTCATGGCTGTTTTGAGGAGATCAAAGGCCTATCGAGCCAACACATCCCAATTGAAATTATCCTTTTTGGTGAGGCCCGTTAAAGGTTTAGCGATAGAACCGTAATGCCGCACAAATTTGCAGTAATACCCGGTTAACCCCAGGAAACCACGAACACCTTTAACGTGCTTTGGACTTGGCCAGTCCAAAACAACTTGGATTTCAGAACGACGGAGACGCTGTTTCCGTGGATTATATGACGAAGGTATTCCACCGAGGATTGACCAAATGAACACTTCTTTAGGTTGACCACAAAAATTATTAGCCTGTAGTACACAGAGGGTCGAAGAAAGAATGGATATGTTGGTCCCATGTCGGGCTGTAAACTAAAATGTCGTAAAAAACTACAATGAATCTTTGTAAAAACGGCAGAAAAATGTCGTTCATAACAACTTGAAAAGTGGCCGGAGCGTTAGTGAGACCCAATGCCATTACGAGATATTCTTAATGACCATCATGTATCCGAAAAACTGTCTTTTCGATGCTTTCAGGCGTCATCCGGATTTGATTATAACAGGATTTCAGATCCATTTTAGAGAAAATAGGGTACCAACCAATTCATAGATCAACTCTTCGACGATGGAAATAGGATATTTATCCAGAACTGTAGCTTTGTTTAAATCCCAGTAATCGACACATATGCGCCATGTTTGATCCTTCTTAGGAACTAAAATTACCGGACTTGAATACGCATTATTGCTTGGGCGGATAACACCGAGAGACAATAACTCATTAACTTGGCGCTCAATTTCTTTTTGTGCAGATACGGACAACGGTAAGATCTGACACAAACCGGACCATGACCTTGTAAAAGATTGATGGCATGATCCTTATTGCGTGTAAAAGATAACCCAGATAGCTCCTGAAAAACGGGAGCAAACGTCACAAACAAATAGTGTAATTCTTGTGACTGTTGGGGAGACAGGTTAGTGAAAATCCCGGAACAGAATCATCCATATTAACAGAAGAAACGAAGGATGCCTCCATAGTTGACAACCAACCGTGAAGTGAAAATTGACCCGTTGAAGCAGGTGGAATTCCCCGTAACTGAACTTCACGGGAAGCATATGTAAATTGCATGGATCGAGCGAGCTTCCCAATTATGAACCACATCACCTAAGGTTTGTAACCATGCAATACCCACGACCATATACAAACTTCCCATTTCAAATAGTAAGGCATCAATCAAAAATTCACATGGATGCAAAGTGATAAGGACCTGTGAACATTTATTTGAAACAAAAACTTTGTGCCCATCACCAGTCAGATCTGCAAACCTTCGAACAATGAAACTGGAAGGTCCAAGGCAACAACTAGCCTAGCCGAGATAAAATTATGTGTGCACCGCTATCCACTAAAATTAAAACCGGAATTCCATGAAGTTGCCCCTCTAATTTCATCGTATTAAGGCCTGATTTCATAACCTCACTCGTACCAAATTCAAACACCGAAAATTCGCCCGTACTCCCCTTTTAATTGAGAGGTTCCTCGTTACTTTTCGACAAATCTAGTGCACATAAGTTGGCTTCGAACTCCGAATCTTCATCATCGGCCAATAGAAGCACCCTGAAATTTCCATCTGGGCATTTATGAGATGGACCAAATTATTGTCCACACTCGAAAGACAATCCCTTTTTCCTTCAATCTTCCCACTCAGTACGAGAAAACATGCGTGCCCCACGGTTCCGAGCAGATGAAATTGACGAGGAATTGGTGCATGAAGGGCCACCGTTTGACGAATAAGCGATGGAACGATAGGGTTTGTGAACAAAGGTGTGGCGACGGTCAAGGCCCAGGTACTGTCCTTTGGGCTCTAAAGGCCCACTAGATTTAGAGAGAACCCCGTAGAGGACTTATCAAAAAGACATAATTGCTCTGAAATCGGAATTGAGACGTTAAAGCAGAGGTGTCCGAAGGATTCAGCATCTTTCGGCAAATACATGGCATCTAAACGTGTTCAAGGGCGATGGAGACGAACCCATTTTTTTACTTCGGGTTGCAAACCCGTCAAAAAATATCCCGGTGATTGGGATTCAGTTAAACGAGGAAGTGACAAAAGGTACCCAAAATCATCAATGTAATCATGAATTGAAGAAACCTGTTGAATAGTGGAGAGTTATTCGTATGGATTCTATATCTCTAAACCACTGAAACATTGTAATGATTCCCGTGTTAACAGATCCCAGGTCAGATCATATCTTTCACCACAACAAACCAATGGTGAGCAACCCCAGACATACCGATTTGTGCTAATCGGACCATTAATTCCAGTGGAACAGCGTGAATCTCGAAATACAATTTAGCCTTCGCAATCCAGCCACAAGGATCAAAGCCCGAGAAGTCAGGAAGCTTAATCTTCTTCACAGCCCAAGATAGGGAATCGCTCGAACGGAAAGACGACCGTGGATTAGGAGGAGGATGCACCCCCGATTTGATAAGAGGAAAAGGAGTCCTGTTCTCATTCGAGACACCTGAAAATTGGCTAGAACCGAAAATAGACGACTTACCCTGTTGTTTCACCCAATTCATAACGAATTTATGAAATTTGGCTTGCTCGAGTTGATCAGCTTCGAGAGATTGTACAGTAGACTTAATTTCCTGAACATCTAATTGCAATCACTGAATCTCCTTCTCGTGGATATCCAAATGTGTGTGCTGAGATCGAGTCTCCATGAAAACAGGAATGGTAGGTTGGACCAATGTTACGTAATCAAATGATTACATAATGGAATTGTATTAATTGGAAGTGTAAGGGATGGTTTACAAAGGAGAAATTGGAGGGGACAATCCAGAAATGCAATCCACAAGGATCCTAGGGACGAATCTCTCCTCTAGCCTAGCTATGAGTCAGAAACGGTTATTCTTTCTGCATGCCCCTCACACCCCCATGTGCCCTTATTTTATAACCCAAACGCACTACTAATTTCCCAAATGGGCCTTGGGCCTTCTAGAATAGACTTTCCATGTAGTAGGTGTAGTAATGGGCTCGATTAATGGTGACATTGCATCAGCAGTTCTTAACATTCCCAGATAAATACAAGCCAAAGATAATGGCATACTTAATTTAAGTCTCTATTTGCCTAAAATAGGAAAATATTTTCTCTTATTCTGAATCCAAATATCGAACTGCTATAAAAAAATTATGGCTTGCAAACCTGGACAGATAATAATGGGATCATTTTTATGTCAAGAACAGAGACTACCACTCTACAAGAGTATGCATTTAATCATCTGTAGACAATAACACTAGAGTGTGAAGATGGTCTTACTCCATTACCATTAATGGTACATATGAAAGAACTTCTGGAATACTTATCTTAGCTTTTCTAAATAGTACTCAAGGATTATTTACATCTTACTCTATTTAATAAACCCATTTATAGGTTTACTGCATTACAAAAGCATCAAGTAGAACACAGAAATTGTCACTATACATTACAATTGATGGTACTCATGTAATATTTCGAGCATCCTTTAGAATTTTCTTATTGCGTTTTTAAGTGCCCATTTCTCTCACAAAATCAGCTCTCTATCTATCACAGTCTCACTATATCTAGCCTATCTCAGTCTTTCACTATATGAGACCGCATCAACAGCCTAGTGGTACAGGCTTCTTCCCATGCATGAAGACTCACAGATAAAAGTCCATCCCTTTCACTTAGACAGAACAGGAAAATAGAAGGGATAAGAAAATCTCCATCTATAGTTGTTGCAGGTGTGCGTGCATGCTGTTTTCATATGCTGGTGTCTGAGAATTCACATAAGCAACAAGTTCAGAATAAATTTTGTATGAATTATGCATTCTTACTGGAGGATAACGCTGTCTCCAAGATGGCTCTGAAGTTGTTGAAGAATTAGAGTTTCCTTGAGCTGAAGTCTGAGGTCTCAATGTTTTATATCTCCTAGCTGAGCATGACAGCATTATAATAGTGAGATGGGATGTAAATATCACACTTAAAAGCCTTGTTAAAGAAAGAGTAGGTATGCTTGAAATGAGCGAGATAAAATAGTTAACTGACATAACCAAATCTAAATGTTATTGGAGAGTGATGACTCGAAGGGAATGAAATACGATCATATAATTACTTCTTGCATCAAAGAAACCAGGATCATGGTCAAGCTTTGATTGTCACCATGACAACAAATTACGAAGATATGAAGGTAGTTGAGAACTAAATGATGGGGTTGTGGAGGTGCAGTGAGTTGCACTAGCCTGTGCATATGTGGCCATGGAGAATGACAGAATCAATGTGGCTTAACAACTGCCTAGAACTTTCCACAAACGAATCAGAATTATCAAATTTCTAAGATTAGCAAATGATTAAAATAAGAAATAACTGTTTCACCTCCATGTTGGTTCTATTCCATCAATCAAAACACAGCATAAGATATTTCATGTATCAGTTACTAGTATATAATTGGGCAAAGTGTCAATTAATAGTATATTTGTTGGCTCGATAACCATCCCCCAACCCACCCTCAACTCTCCAGCTCCCTTCCTCCCGTTTATGCTAGCTATAGGTCCCTAGCCTAATACCCAAGTCCTGCGTCTCTAAGAACTCCTATCATAGGTCATATGTTTTGCTAGGAAAATCTTTTGCAGCTACAAGCACTTCAATGGAATAGCTATAATAGTACAACGATGTTGACGGCATAAACGAAACAGGACCATAAATTAGATTTAACATGTAAAAACAACATAAGATATATAACAGTCTTATTTATTTAACTTTCCCTTGAGAAAGACACGCAGATGGAGCACAGCTGTTTCCCAGCATATGTAGCAGCCAACTCATGGGGAAAAATGAAGAAAAGAAAACAAAATTAATTAGAATACCACTGAAATTAAAGAAATACAACCTGGACAGGACATAAACAATATATCTAAGAATTTAAAAAGGAAAAACAAGAATAACAGATGATTATTGAAATTAAAAAAAATACATTGAATACTAATTTAATAAGGAAAAAATTAGTCATTTTGATGGAGGAGCCCCACCTGTAAAATTTCCTTGACGAAGCTTGGTTTTAATATTGTAAACATGCTTTGGAGTTGATAAAAGCTCTGGGTTGTGCTGTCTCAATCTCTTTAAAATTTGGCGTGGTTTTAGACCAGCTTCTGTCATCTCCTTGATAAGCAATACCTCATTCTCTGTAAAGCGGCGAGCAGATGGATGTTGTGTGATATCACTTAAAGGTTCGTGGTTGTGAGAACCATTTTTAACTGTAAGTACCCAAAAACCATCATCCTTTTTACCCACTAGTTCGAAAGGACAATTTGTAAGCCGGGAACCAGACTTTCTTTTGCGAACAAGTTCACCCGTCCCTTCATCAATTGTTTTACGCCTGTTTCTATAAACACCTCCTCTTTGGCATCCAAGAACTACAACTTTCTCCTTTTTAGATTGCTTAATAGTTACAACATATCCCTGAGAGACACCAAACTCCCCAACATGTTGGATAAGTTCTTCACGATCGAGGAAACTGCCAGGTGGAGGTGGAAGCATCTGTGGGGTATCCGAAACGATTGCATAATCGTCCATCACCAAGCAGGTACCTGCACAAACAACAATGGAATTAATGAGATCATTGTAAAAGCCTTGTCTCACTACAAAGTTTCGCAGTGGTGCTCTCAAGGTTTTGACAGCTTAGTGGAATTTTTCACCAGTACGAAGGCATTGCACCATAATTATGATTTTGACTTGATTGATAGAGATAATAACGTAACAAAGACAAGGTGGCAACATAAAGAACCAGCAGTTGTAGTTGAAGATTGTCATACACACACACACAAAAAGATCATATCATTTGACTGTGCACTTTACCTTTGTCTTATTTGGGTTTTTTTAATATAGCCATTGTCCCACCTTCTATACTATCAGTTTTCATATTGATTAACAAAAGAAGCAAGCTTTTTCAGACCCAGGCTTTACATGGTATGGGCACAAACCCTATCCCAACAAAATAAACAACAGTCCTGCTGTTAGTACCACCATCGTTTGTTGCCTCTAAGAGACAGCTGTCGTCTTGCTCTAACCTACACCGCGTCACACCAATGCTTCATGCCGCATGTTGATAGAGTTTCTAGTGCACAAGTTGGGATCCATTGGGCTTCTCAGTCATGCATCATCTGGATTCACATGTCCTCAGTTCATGCCCTCCTGACTGCCTTGAGTGATTAGCAATGAAGACTTTGTTTTCTTTCACCCAATTTACTATTTGATTAAAAGAAGATCTTTTGTCTCATGGTAGCCTGCTCCAGTCCCCCAATGAAGCATATGTTCAGGTCATTCTAAAATAGAATTCTCAAATAATTGGAACAAGCAATGAGTGTCATGATGTTTTTTATGTGTTAGATGTTCCTCCTCCTTCTAATGCATATCCAAGTAACAGTAGAATTCATGATACCCAGCGCCAAACAGATTATTCTTTGCTCAAGCACAGGAAGCAATTACCACTAGTACTTGAGTTTTCAGTCAAGTGAAATGGGTAAACACATTTTTTGCTACTTACCCATCTTAGAGTTGGTTCAGGTGTAGAGCAATAGAGTGCTTTTGGACTTGTTCATCCAAATGGTTACTTATGTTGATGATTTTTTAGAGTTCAAAAGAACTATTTAGCAGAATCTCATGAAAATTTTCTCAGATTTATCGAACATAGATAATTTACTTATTATCGATTTCAAAGTCATTAGTCAGGTTTTTTGTGTTACCATGTAAAGGCATACAATCAACATTGCACGAGCTCAATCGTGCTATTTCGTTGATTGTTATAAACATGTGATAATTGATGTGATATTTCTGCCATACTCATGTACCCTAAAGTCCTACAAGAGTTACGCTTTCACAGTAACATGTCAAATACATTTTTATCAAAGTTCATTTACCAAAAGCTTACCCAGTAAGCGCTTACCGGGTTAACCACAAGAGTTGTGGCATAGTGGTTGAGGCCCTTGGGGAGGTCATGGGATATTCCATCTGCTCAGGGTTCGATTCCAGGTACAACAATTGTAGCCACTGAGTTTATTAGGGCCGATTTCTTGTAATCACAATTTGTCGAGATTAGTCCAGGAATAGCCTGGGACACCCTTCCAAAAAAAAAAGCGCTTACCGGGTCACTTACCTTACCGGATGGACATGACAATGACCGATAATCTTACCCTGTAAGAACGATGGCAAGGACTGAAAGTCTTACCTGGTAAGTGAGGGTGATGATTCTTAACCGTTTAGCCTTACCAGGTAAATTGTTGCATACGATGCCGTTTTGATGGACTAGAATCTTACCCTTACCCAGCAAGGTAAGTGAGAGTGTTGACTCCATCAGTAAGTAAGTGCTTACCACGCAAGCGTTTGGGTAAAGGGCTCCTTGTAATCGATTTCAGTAAATATTGTATAACCAATGGTAATTAGATAGGCACCTATTTATATCAAATCCAGTTCAAACATAAAAAGCCTTCCGTAAACTTGAAATGACATCGCTTTTGTTAATTCTTTTGCTTGTCATCATTTGTGACTATTAATTTTTACGGTTTGAAATTTAGATTTGAATAAATTTCCACATTCATATATGGATTAAATTGGCTTAATTGAATTCTTGTATCATTTAAATCTAGATATAAATTTGAATTTGGATAATATCCAACAAATTTGAATATGGATGTCGAGTTTTAACATCCATATTCAAATTGTGTTTTATAAATTGAATAAGAATTCAATTTTATCCGGTTTGTTTGAGTAATATTCACTGACATGTTTCTTATTGGTTTTGTGGATATAGTTTTCCCCTGCAGGTACTTGATAAATTATATGTTATCTGCTATTTTAAAGTGGTAATACCTTATCATTTCCTATTTCCAATCGTCTTCTCAACTTGATCCTAAATTTTTTGGGCTTGTCATGTGTGCTATGGAAATGGGTTCTGTCCCAGTTCAACTTAACTTGATGTTAGGAAATATCAGTGCCTGTATGTTAGGTACTCTAGGTCTGAAAACAGACAACAATGCCGCAGTCAGAAACAGCTATGGAACAAAATTGACCAACGAACTACTCACATAAAGAGAAACTTTGATGTGGGTAATCTCCCAAATCTCCAGGAAATTAGTTAGCCTAGAAACATGATCGACATTTAAGGACATTTAAAATTTTCATGTTTTGCAGAAACCAAAATCTAAATGTGTCCAGCAATAAGTGTGATCTTTGTTTATCATGATAAAATGTTACACAACGGCATGTACCAAGTCTTTTGGAAAGGATGGGTATACATAAGCATCAAAACTATAGACACGGAAAGGATGAGTATGCATAATGGCATGTACCTCATCGTGCAGCACCATCAGAATTATGACCAATCACTCCCCAAAACTCTCATTATCCATTTGGGTGACAAGTAAACAAAATTCTAACCCACAAGAAAAACAAATTCAACAGCTAAACCACAAAAAGCCAGCATTTTATCATAGCAATGCATTCATCCACTCCAGATACTGTCATAAAATAAGCAAAAAACAAAAAACTTTCTCCTGAATTTGTTCTCTAGCTAATCCAATCTAAATTAGGCATACCAGTCCCCTAATGAGCAAAAATCACATTCACGATTCAATTTCCTTTGCATCGGTTCCCAGTTGAGCAAGGGCAAATAAATACAGAGAAAAATGAAGAGAATGAAACTGACCGCACGTCGAGTGATCCGCCAAGATGATCTGCAGATTAGGGTTCCGACAGCCCTCTTTTATCCGACGAGGAACTTTGTGGTGATTCCCTGAAGAGAATGGGAGAATGACCGGGAATGGTTATCATGAAACCCTCCCCCACGGTTTAAGTTTTTGGGTTTCGTTTTTACATGATTTTCGTAAATGTTTTTATACCACAATTAAATATAAAAAACAACTCAAAAAATACAATACATAAATAATTACATCAATTTGGAGGCAACCTCTTAATCGTTAAAAAATGAATCTTGTTTAGCAAAAAATAAATTTGTCTCTTAATGATTCTAAAATCCTCTGAATGATTTTGTATCTAGGTCTCCCTTAACCATTCAGCACCATAATTTCATTGCAAACAATTATCAGATAATTAGATTTCATTTTGCACTATATCATGAGAGTCTCTTAATCATTCTGACCATTTAATCATTTTGTACCAAACCATTCAACAACTGTGAAAGAGCCACTTAAAAATGTAAAATTCATCAAAAATAATTCAAAATTAAACCAAACAACCTCAGTAAACCGTATTTATTGTCTTGAAAACTTTTTATTATGAAGAAAATAAAAGGGACAAAAGTAAAAATCTCGTGTTTTTCAAAGCTGGGATGTAAGATCTGATCTATATTTTTTGATCTAGGGTTTGGTTTCTTTTCACCCTCTACCCTCATTCCTTTCTTTTTGTACATGCTGTGAAATATTTGGTAGTAGGTAAAGTGTTCTTGAGAGCTTTATACCTTCGATTTGGTAATTTAGCTCGGAGATCTCAAGTCTTCACCAAAAGAAGCTCAAAGAAAAAAATAAGCAAACATGCTCCTCATGTTAGCTTTTCAGCAAGTGTATAAACAAAAGGCTCCTCAAGAAGGGAGTGATTAACAAGAGAACTTATGGAAAAGAATATAAATTCAGAATCATAAAAACATGTTCTGCAATACTGTCATGGACGGACATATAGTGGTGCATATGGTGGCATGTACCACCGTGTTATTCCTCCGTTGAAGGGTAAAAAAATATAGGTTCGTGAAAAGTGCAATCGTATTAATATGTTGTGTGTCATCGTATGTATTTTGAAACTACAATGAGAACAAGGCTTTTCCGCCCCAGACCCAAGTTCGAATCGTGTTAGTGTCATTTTCTTAGTCAAATGGTGCAAATGTTTGGAAAAAAATTATGTATATTTGTTTCTTATAGTCAAACGGTGTCATCGCTTGGAAATTTTTCCCTATAGTTTTTTTTCTTATAGTCAAATGGTGCCACCATTTACAAAAAAAAAAATATGGGTCCGTCCCTGAATACTATATCCCAACAGCCTTAAACTTTGATTTCCGGATGCTTTCATAAACTTCTTGGAATATGTCCATGTTTGACTTCAGATCCAAAAGACTGAAGCAAAAGCATGGTAGTACTAACAAAGATGATTCGAGGGAGGAAAAGAGGGTGCAAGTGATTAATAAAGAACCAATTATGATAGAGCAACATAAATACCTGGATTTGGGATGTAAGAACCACATTTGACCTAAATTAAAGTCAATATTATCTTTAAGCTGTTTTAACAAAACCAATGAAATAATCAATAACTCGTCATATTTTTCAAGAGTTAAAATACCATTTTGTCTCAAACCATCCTGATATCCAAGAAATATCATTTAATGTAATAAATAACATTTGGGGACTCAAAACACCCAATAAAACACATCAAAAGTGGGATAAACCCATAGAGGTGTGTTCAATACTCAAACTGGAGATATTTTGACATGTATGTAGTTTTGCAAAACAACTAGAACTTACTTTGCTAGATTTATGTTAAATTTAGATTCCAAACCAAACCTTGAGCTTTCTTTGAGGAAGGCTTTAAATCCTCAAGCTAGAACCTCAGATTTATGTTGAAAATCTCTCAAGAACACTTTCTTGAACTCCTAAGCACTAACAAGACACCACAAAGTAGAGAAAGATGTTGAGGATGCAAAGACAGTTCCGAGACATTCCTCGGACAAACTCTTAAATCCCTAGGTGTGATTAGCATTAATGAATCAGAAAAATCACCATTTCAATGTCGTAAACTCACAAGCTGGACTTATTAGAGTCTGATTGCAAGAATTCATGGCATAAGTTCGAAACCTTATTGAAATCAAACATACCATTTGTCACTTTATCAAAATCTCCATCCAATTATGGATTTAGGGTTTTAAATGACTTTTCATCAAATGGGTATCAATCAATTGATCAGATTAATTAATAAACCAAAAGATAATGACATTCATACGTAATTCAAGCAAATAAACTTGTTTAAGCATCTTTACATAGGAATCTCTAAACCAAATGCATCAAAACTGAATGTTACAGTAATGCGGAATGAAGAAACTAGTTACCTACAAAATTAAACAAAAAGAAAATGGTAGAATAACTTCAACCTCCAATTTGCTTAGAAATCGTCCCTAGGTCCGCTTCTCTCTTAAATGGCGGTTTCAGACCCCATTTATACCAAGAAAATGGAAAAAATCTCTCAAGATTAAAAAATTGGCGAAATTGTTCCTGCAATGCGTTATGCGATCCTTGCATAGGATATCATGTTAAGGTAGCATCTTGTGTACCGTCTAGACGCTATATGTGACCTTCGCGTGTGACCCTCATATGGCAGGATACAATTTTCTTGTTTGTGTGTTTCTTCAACCACTTATTTCGTACAACCCTTTTAAACCCGCCAACCATTTGTCCTCATGTTTTCTCTATTATATTAACCTGTAACTGAATGATAAAAACATGTTTAGTGGGTTCTTTAGCCATGAAACTGAGTATTATGTAGAGGGTTCGATCATAAAATATGTAACAAAATTGACATTTAAACTCGTACGCTCCACTGTTCCTAGTTTTTAGCTTTCAATCTCAATTTGCTATGATTTTGAATTTATTTGGATAAAAAGCTATAAAAAACTCGAATATAAAGGAACCAACCAACATACCGATAATGATTTTGTAAAAAATATCTATACGGACCGTGCATCCTCAACCGTTTTCTTTGTTATGTTGGGTGTTTGTTTTGTAGATGGATCAATTTTTGTGTGTCAAATAAAGTACCCTTTTGGGTTTGATACCTAATGCCTTTTGTTCTTTAATGTTGTATTATATGTTTTTGGACACAAGACATTGCAGTACCTTAAGGGGACGTTTGGTTTATCAAATTCCAATAAGAAGATGGAGGAATTGGAATGCCAATTCCATTGATCAAAAGTACTTACCGGATAATTTTCCTCACCAGATGAACATGACAAGGGCCAAGAATCTTACCCGGTAAGAGCGATGATAAGGATGGAGAGTCTAACCCGGTAAGTGAGGGTGATGACTTTTACCCGAGTAAGCGTTTACCAGGTAAATTGTTGTATATGATATGTTTTGATGTACTACAATCTTACCCAATAAAATAAATTATAGTATTGACTCCTAGAACTTTTTCAAGTGAGACATGGGGTTTAATCCATTTCGCTTTCATTTATTTTTGTAAAATCTAGCTACAATAAAACGTCCACCTCATGATCATGTTAACAATGAAAAATTAAAATATGTCAAGTCGAGACTGTTAATTAAGCTTACTTGTCAAAGAGGTCATCTAGACCCTTAATTATTTGTAAATTTATTTTCATATTATAAAATAAATGTTTTAGAAGTTGGTTCCCCAAAATATGAATAAAATCAAAGTTTACCTTTATTTTGGTGCAATTTTTTCTTTAGAAAATGACAAACATCACCTCCTACTTAGATAAATGTGCATACATATACAGACTTAGGATCATGTGAGACCAATGGTTTTTCGTGAGACCCGTAAGACCAATTCTCAACCCTTGGATTAGATCTACAATATGAAAATCTAAACATTCATAAATGACACGAGACTTCTCAATAATCACAAAATTGCCACCAGTCTGTTTTCGTGAGACCCGTAAGACCATCTTTTTAGACTTGAAACTTCACAGCAAAAACACTGTGAAGGTAAAAAAAATCTGAACCTTCACATCAAAAACACTATCAAGGTTACCTTCACAACATTTTACTGTGAAGTTTCAAGTGTAAAAAAGTGGTCTCACGGGTCTCACGAAAACA